TTTCTTTCAAAGTGTCAATAAATACTCAACCAGGAAAGACCACAATTAAAGAAATATATAGTGCAATAAATTGTTTCATTGATCTAGATTTATCATTTATGACTGAGATTACATTTTGTTGTGCAGAAACTTGTTAATTTGATGTGCATCATGATTAAGCAAAAGAGGAAAAGAAAGACGTAATTAATTTGATAGGAAGGACTATTATGATTTGCTTTGACATGGACCGTAGGCACTTATTTTTTTATTTATTTTTTTAATTTTTCACAACAATTGTACTACCTAGTGATCTATAGAACATTATTATATGAAGGATTTTGTTGGGAAGACAAGACACAAGACACAACACGTAAAACTCGTCTAATATAATTCATGAGTTTAACTTAAAAGGACGTTTGATTTGGTTTATGTATTTAGAATTATAATTTAGAATTATTCTTATTTTATGTATATTTTTATGAGAAAAAATACTATAAAAAATTATGAATCATAATTTAAAATCAATGACGAATATAAAAAACAAACGTCTCCTTATTTAAAAAGTTATTTTATTAAATTTTAGGTTTTTTTATAACACACGTACACTTTTTTAACAATCTCTCTTTTATGTGTGTGTTCATCGAACTCCGTTTCAAATTAAAATTTTTAGTAACCTGCACATCTAAACATCAAACTCTAAATGGGAGTCAACTCGAGTATAAGAAAGAGAGGCGAAACCATATGTTAAAATGTTTCAAAATTAATAATTATATTAATGCTAAAGACATGATAAAGGCATATAATTTTTTGTAAAAGAAAGAATAAAAAACTTTGGAGAATTATTATGATGGGGGGAACGAAACTTGTGATTTTGGGTGTTTATTTTACACGAGATCAGGAAAAGGGAAAAAAAAAAAAAAAAAAAAAAAAACAAGTTAAGATACTTCCCTAAAAATAATATATGCTAGGCCCCAATAATATTGTATGTGAAGTGCCTGATCTAATGGAGGAATCTTGTGGTATCTTGCGTTGCATACATGGTGGAAAATGATAGCTACTATATATGATTTAAGTTTGAATGGTCATTGAACACTTTTCTAAATTGTCTGCCACTAAATTTGCAGAAGAAACGTGTATTCATAACAAATATATATATATATATATATATATATATATATTGGCAACCTAATATATATACAGCCGATTAAGAATTTATGATGCTGATGGGAAATGGACTTCCTCTTTAGAACGAACTCAGAAGGTATGATTTCTTTCATTTATTGGTTTCATGATAGCGGTTTGGAATTTATTCGAGTGGGTAAGGAATTGATAGCAAATCAAGTATCCGAGAGTCTATAGCAATTTGCCACACAAAAGTTTCGTGGCATTTATCCATTTAACAATTATTTACATGAGAAGTAATCAAGTCGTTTTCCATTTAAACTCAAAACCATAATTTAGCTCAAATTAGATTGGAGATTATTGAACTCAAGTTTTTATTTATTTTTTCAACTTTTAAATTGAGAGATTTAGGAGTTGTCCTTTTACAACAAAATTTTAAAAAAATTTAAACTCAAGTTACAACTTTATTTAAGTTCACGTTCTTTTAAGTTTCAATTTTATTTAACTTTGCTCAACTTTATTTAAATTACAACTTTAACTCAAGTTATAACTCAAATTTAACTCAAAAATTACACTCAAATCACACTCAAAAAGAATAATCCCATAAATTTTACGCCTGAAAGTGAAGTAAAATATGAATTTACCGTTACGTTATAATTGCAATCACACAATATATTACGGTGAGTTTAAAAGATACAACAAACTCATTTAATTAGAATCCTCTAGCTAGCTTTGATCAATTTTGACGAAAATACTTTATATTAAACCCTACACCTGACCCCTCACGCGGTCTATTTTGTAAAGCAGAATAAAGTGCTCTTTATTTAACGCCTTGCGAGATGTCGAAATAGTGGTAGTTGAAAATTGTAAAGTTGGAACTTGAATTGCAATGAGACACCAATTATTTGCTAACAAAGCCTTGAATGTAATCTTTTCGCCACCAAATTTTAGCCGGACAGCCCTTTAAGGATAACTTTGTAAATTTTTTCTTAAATCTAAAAAAGATCCAAGTTGTAATACCCAAAAATGCAAAATAAATATTTGAAAATAATTAAAACATTAGTACACATGTTTGTAATTATCCTAAGCCAAAAAATAATTTACCTAGTGCCTACTAGTACACTATTTTTAACAAAACGAAAGCATAGTAGAGAGATGAGAGATGAGAGAGAGGGAGAGAGGGAGAGAGGGGATTAGAGGAGTTTAGAGAAAATAGTTGAGTCTGAATTTTTATTCTTAAATTTTTAATTAGTATTTTTTATTAATATAATTATTTAATTAAAAAATATTAATTAATAATAAAAGATAAAAAACAAAGATAAATCTTGCTCTTTTAGGCCCACTATTAGACTTCACGAGGCAAAGTACAATCATTTCATAATTTTAATTTGGTCCCATCCAGATATTTAAATTGATGGATTGCTTTATTGCAATTTGGGGCTATAAATTTTTCTAGCCAGAATTAGCCACAAAGATATGGATTATATTATATACACAATTTTGTGTCTCAATAAATAACCAAGAGAAGAACAGTGAGAGTGATAAAAAAGAATAAGATGGGTTGGTAGGACAGAAGGATCTCATTTTCATCATTAAATCCCAGATAATACGTGGGCTTGTGGTAACCCTAGACCTATTTTCTTTCCCGAGAAACAAGCAGAGCCAAAAGCTAGAAAATATGTCAAGCCCCCACATTTGAGGCTCCACTTGGTCCCTGAATCAGCCCTACCATTCTTTTTTGTCCTGCCCTCCCAATGGAAATAACCTTAGCCTTTCGAAGTTATTTTTTTGTTTCTTCTTGATGATCATCACTGTTCTTCCGCAACATATCCACACTACACTGTTTGTCAATTGATATATATATATATATATATATATATATATGGTGGACCACTGTCATAATTCCTTTTCTTTTTTTCCTTGTGTAAGGAAAATTCTGCAAGGTGTATACAAAAAATACCTAAACTAATAATTAATATACTTTTCCAAAAAAAAAAAAGATATACAATTTGATTTGTTAAATCATTATACACAGGTTAAAACTGTGTTATACCGAAAAAATATATAAAAAAAAAATAGTCCATCATAAAATTCTTCTATTTATATTGTTGTGTGAGAAAATGTGACGGACACCTGGACGAACGATAATGTGACACGTGGCCTTAACTACTTCCCGCCAAGCAACAACCTTCGACGTTTACAGCTCTAAAGAGCCCAAGCACGAAGTCCAACTTAGGGCGACGATTCCTTCTGGCATCGACAGATCGTGCCGTCGAGCTTAAGGCACAAAGATCCCTCGACCGCAGAATCGACCACCAAGAAAGACGCTTGGGCTAAGCGTCGCTGGTGACGAGGGGAACGTTCTCTGAAGGACGTGGCAAGTTACGTACAAAAGTGGGAGACGTCTGTAGGCATTAATTGTGAGCTCTTAAACCGCCCCATAGGGGGCAGGAAAGTGTTACAAGGATGCACAGAGTCGTAATAGAAGACTAATTGGCTGAGTGAACAATGCTGATTAGTGGGCTACGTCTGGGCCTAAAAAGGGAGAACACTTGAGTGCTTCTGCCACGAGGGAAACCCACAAAGCGAAGGAAGCCCAGTATAAAAGAAGGGAGACCCCCTGCGAGGAGGGGGTTCAGATCCAAGAAGAGAAAAAAAAGAGTGAGAGATAGCAATTGATGTAAATTGTAATCCCATCGAAAAGAAATATACAACCACAATGGATGTAGCTCTAATTTTACAAAGTGAATCACTATAAAATTTCTTGTCTTCTTTATTTGTGCACATCTCAAGCTATACACACCATACACACCGAACAATAAATTTTCACACATATTCAACATATAGGCCGGTAACCCAAAGGGAAACCAAGAGGTAACACGGCCGGCTTTTGTTGGCGAGAAATCACCGGTCATGTTTCAAATGCTACAGACCGTGGGACAATTCAGCAGTATGGCGACAGACGATCCTCATCAACATTTGAGGTTATTCATGGAAGTTAGCGATATATTCAAGCTACCGGGAGTTCCTCCAGAGACCTTAAGGCTGACACTTTTCCCTTTCTCTTTGAGGGATCGTGCTAGAGCTTGGTTTAATAGCCTACTTGCTGATTCCATTGTTACATGGTATGATATGGCTGAGAAGTTTCTTATGAAGTATTTCCCTCCGACAAAGAACGCCAAGTTGAGAAATGACATTACCTCTTTTCATCAAGGTGATGGAGAGTCAGTTTATGCGGCATGGGAACGATTTAAGGAGCTACTCAGAAAGTGTCTAGTACATGGTATTCCCCATTGGATTCAAATGGAGACTTTTTACAATGGTCTCAATTAACAAACGAGAGTGATGGTTGATGCTGCAGCTAATGGTGCTCTTTTGACAAAATCTTACAATGAGGGCTATGAGATTCTGGAGAGAATGGCCACAAATCATTATCAATGGCCAACCAAGAGACTACCCACAAGGAAAACACCAGGAGTTCTTGAAGTAGATGCAATTACCACTCTTTTGGCTCAAGTGTCGAATTTGACCAACATGTTCAAAACCATGAACACTTCAACTGGAGTGAATTCTGTCCAGGCCCTCACACTCTCTTGCGTATACTGTGGAGAGGGGCACCTATTTGAGGAATGTCCTTCGAACCCCGCTTCGGCTTGTTATGTGAGTAACTACAACCGCAACAATGCTTACAGCCATCAATACAACCAAGGATGGAAACAACATCCTAACTTCTCTTGGAGTAATCAAGGGGCAGGTTCTAGTGGTGCCCCCCTTATAACAGACCAACTCAGCAGTCGAGTTTACCACAACCATCTCAACCAATGCGGATTCAAGCGGGTGAAAATCCAAATTCTTTGGAGAATTTCCTTAAGGAGTACATAACGAAGAATGAGGCTAAAATGCAGAGCCATGATGCAACCTTGAGAAGCTTGGAAACTCAAATTGGGCAACTTGCAAATGCTTTAACTAATCGCCCCCAGGGCACTCTTCCAAACAATACAGAAAATCCTAGGCGGGAAGGCAAGGAGCATTGCAAAGCCATTTTATTGAGAAGTGGAAAAGTATTGGAGCAGCCACAGGAGAAAAACAAGCTGGATGGAGAGCCCTCTTCGATCCAAAAGGAAGAAAGGCAGGATGGCCGCATGAATCCTGTACAAAGTCAAGATGAGGTAGAACCTAGTGTTACTGCAGCAACGCAACAGCAACACAGTTCAGACCAGCAACATCAGAATCTACGTTCTGCTGACAAACATAATTCTGCAATGTTGAGGCAGCAGCACGAAGCAGCAGGTGCTAGAACAGACCACCACCGCCCTTTCCTCAGAGAGTTCAAAAGAAACAACAGGACAAGCAATTCGGGAAGTTTCTTGATGTGCTGAAACAACTTCATATCAATATCCCATTAGTTGAAGCTCTTGAGCAAATGCCGAATTACGTAAAATTTATGAAAGAAATTCTTTCCAAGAAGAGGCGTTTGGGTGAGTTTGAGACAGTGGCACTTACAAAAGAATGTGGGCTGATCTCTCAAAGCACTCTACCACCTAAATTGAAGGACCCAGGGAGTTTCACAATCCTATGTTCGATTGGCAACACTTATTTTGATAAAATCTTGTGTGATTTGGGTGCAAGCATAAATTTAATGTCGATGTCTGTTTTTAAGCAGCTAGGTATTGGTGAAGCTAGGCCAACTACAGTCACCCTTCAACTTGCCGATCGATCATTTGTTCATCCGGAGGGAAAAATTGAAGATGTGCTGGTGCGTGTTGATAAATTCATCTTTCCGGTGGATTTTGTAGTCTTGGATTATGAAGCAGACAAGGAGGTGCCCATTATTTTGGGTAGACCATTTCTAGCTGCTGGAAAGACATTGATTGATGTGCAAAAAGGTAAACTCACTATGCGAGTTGACGATGAGCAGGTCACATTCAATGTTCTCAATGCTATGCGCTTTCCAGATGAGATTGAATAATGTTCGGCTGTGGGTGTATTAGATGCTCTTGTGTTGGAAGAACTTAATAAGAATGCTTATGAGGAAATAGAGGAGGAGGATGTCACAAACGCTGCATTGGAGGTTGAGCAGGTTGATGATGATTCACCAGCATTACTGGGAGAAACTGATCAAGTGGCTGTTTGTCAAGAAGGCCATTTGAGTCACTGGATTTATCTGAGAGAAATTTGAAGCCTCCTAGGCCATCAATTGAAGAACCACCGATTTTAGAATTGAAGCCTTTACCAAATCATTTGAAATATGCTTATTTGGGTGAGGAAGATACTTTGCCAGTAATCATATCATCCACCTTGGATGAGGAACATAGGACATGTTGCTTGAAGTGCTTAGAATGCATAAAAGGGCTATGGGATGGTCGATAGCTGATATTAAAGGGATCAGCCCTTCCCTATGTATGCACAAAATCCTGCTAGAAGATTGCTGCAGCAATTCAGTGGAACAGCAACGGAGATTGAACCCCATCATGAAGGATGTGGTGAAGAAGGAAATCATCAAATGGCTAGATGCATGGATAATTTACCCAATTTCAGATAGTTCTTGGGTCTCCAGTGTGTACCAAAGAAAGAGGGAGTGACAGTGGTGGCCAATGACAACAATGAATTGATACCCACTAGAACCGTGACTGGTTGGAGGGTATGCATAGATTATAGGAAGCTCAATGCTGCCACTAGAAAGGATCATTTCCCACTGCCGTTTATTGATCAAATGCTGGACAGACTCGTTGGGAAGGAGTTTTATTGTTTCTTGGATGGTTACTCAGGTTATAATCAGATTGCTGTCGCACCAGAGGACCAAGATAAAACAACCTTCACTTGTCCATATGGAACGTTCGCTTTCCGAAGAATGCCTTTTGGTTTATGTAATGCTCCAGCAACATTCCAGAGATGTATGATGGCACTGTTTACTGACATGGTAGACAAGACTTTGGAGGGGTGTTTATGGATGATTTTTCCATCTTTGGTGACTCTTTTGGTGACTGTTTGCAAAATTTAGCTAAGGTGCTTCAGAGATGTGAAGAAACCAACTTGGTCCTCAATTGGGAAAAATGCCATTTTATGGTCACAGAGGGAATTGTCTTGGGCCATAAAGTTTCCCAAAGAGGCATTAAAGTGGATAGAGCAAAAATCGAAGTCATTGAGAAACTACCTCCTCCTACGTCGGTAAAGGGAATAAGGAGTTTTTTTTGGGGCATGCCGGGTTTTATAGGCGATTCATAAAGGATTTCTCCAAACCCTCCAAGCCGTTGTGTCTTCTTTTGGAGCAAAACAGACCATTTGACTTTAATGAAGATTGTCAACGTGCATTTTCTGACTTGAAGAGAGCACTTGTGACAACTCCTGTGATTGTTGCACCGGATTGGGCACTTCCATTCGAGCTGATGTGCGACGCCAGTGATCACGTAGTGGGGGCAGTGGTCGGCCAGAGAAAAGGGAAGCTTGTTCATTCTATTTATTATGCTAGCAGAACACTTACTGATGCCCAATTGAATTATACCACGACAGAAAAAGAACTATTGGCTGTGGTATTTGCTTTTGACAAGTTTTGATCCTATCTTGTGGAGACGAAGGTGACGGTATATACGGACCACTCAGCCATAAAATACCTCATCTCAAAAAAGATGCCAAACCAAGGTTGATTCGGTGGATCTTGTTGCTTCATGAATTTGATCTTGAAATCAAAGATAGAAAGGGAACCGAAAACCAAGTGGCAGACCATCTATCTGGACTCGAGCAAGGAAATGGGACTGAATCACATATTCCTATTCAGGAGAAATTTCCCGATGAGCAGCTCCTTGTAGTGCAGCAAGCTTCTTTACCATGGTATGCAGATTGAACAAATTATTTGGCGAGTGGCAAGGCACCTCCTGAAATGAGCAGACAACAGATGAAGCGGTTCTTACATGATATGAAATCTTACTATTGGGATGAGCCTTTTCTGTATAAATAGGGTGCAGACCAAATTTGGAGGCGATGTGTTCCCCAAGAGGAGACATTGAGTATTTTGCATCATTGCCATGCTTCACCATATGGAGGTCATTTTGGGGGTTCAAGAACTGTTGCCAAGGTATTACAATCCGATTATTTTTGGCCTACACTCTTTAAGGATGCTTATGATTTTGTCAAGATGTGTGATCGGTGTCAACGTGTGGGAAACATTTCACAACGTCATGAAATGCCCTTAACTAATATCTTAGAAGTTGAGTTGTTCGATGTATGGGGCATTAATTTTATGGGGCCTTTCCTACCCTCATATGGCAACCTGTACATATTGGTAGTAGTTGATTATGTATCAAAATGGGTTGAGGCATCGGCATTGCCCACCAACGACTCAAAGGTGGTGATCAAATTCTTGCATAAGAACTTTTTCACTCGTTTGGGGACTCCACAAGCCATGATAAGTGACGAGGGGACTCATTTTGGGAGTAGACAATTTGAGGGGGTGCTCGCCAAATACGGTGTCAAACATAAGGTTGCTACAACATATCACCCCCAAACAAGCGGTCAAGCTGAGATTTCTAGCAGAGAAATCAAGGGAATCTTAGAGAAAGTCGTGAACCCGAACCGAAAGGATTGGTCATTGCGATTAGATGATGCACTATGGGCTTACCGGACAGTCTTTTAGACACCCTTGGGAATGTCCCCTTACCGGCTTGTTTTTGGCAAGGCGTGTCATTTGCCATTAGAATTAGAGCACAAAGCTTATTGGGCAACAAGAAAGCTCAACATGGATCTACAGGCTGCTGGGCAAACAAGGTTGCTGTAATTAGACGAGTTGGAAGAGATGCAGATGTTCTCGTATGAGAACGCAAAGTTGTACAAAGAAAAGACTAAAAGATGGCACGACAAGAGGATCAAACCAAGGGAATTTGAACCAGGCCAACAAGTGCTGCGATATAATTCGAGGTTGAAATTATTCCCAGGTAAACTCAAATCCAGATGGTCGGGACCATTCACAGTAGCCACGGTTTTTCCACATGGAGCCGTGGAATTACAAGAGGAGAAATCCGGGAGGAAGTTCTTGGTAAACGGACAACGAGTAAAGCATTATTGGGGAGGACCTATGGAACGCTCCAAGACCTCTGTCACATTGAGCGATGACTAAAAAGGGGAAGACGTCAGGCTGAAGACGTAAACACAAGCGCTATTGGGAGGCAACCCAAAGATTTTTGTTTTCTTCATTTCATTTCATCTTGATGCTTTATTTTTAGTTTTGAGTTGTTTATTTCTTCTATTTCATCGTCTTTCTTATTTTGATTTTGAGGTTTCAAGCAGAGCACTGACTTTACTGTTAAGTGGCAGGGCAGTTTAGTATCACGGTTGGCTATTTATTCCACAGGAATCAAATTGCTGTGGATTGCTGTAGAAATTGAAAGGCAAATAGAGCAGGCAGATAGAGCAGGCTTGAAAATGAGAGCAATATTTTGTTGCAGTATCGTGCAACATCGTGTGGCATTGCTTCCCCTCATGAGAAGTCGATTTAGGATCTAAGGGGTTTAAATGGGACGGCGTCGTTTTGGCAGTTATTAGAGCAGAATGTCAGCCATTTAAACGACGGTGTTTTGTCCCAAATTCAAATCCCATTCGAACCCACATTTCAGAAAACCTTCTTCTCCATCTCCCCTGCCCTAGCCTCTTTATCCTCCTCATTTTCTGCCCTAGAGCCGCCGCCGATCTCTTCCACCACCTAGACCAAGAAACCTCCACTCCTGAAATCACTTCAGCCATGGGCAAGAAGAGCATTGCCAAGAGGCCTTTCTCCTCAAACCGACAGGATCCAGCCATGGACAAAACGGCGACCACAGATCCTTCTCCCTCGACCAGGCAAGCATCAGAAATTCAAAAATTCATTGATGATGAGGTGGAAAAGAGGTACGCTGAAAACATCAGGGCTCGCAATTTAGTAAAAGAAAATGGCTTTTTACTGCATGATAGCCCTACTTTAGGCCAGCCGGCATTTATTTATGATGTGATTATTCCAAGGTGTTGGCAGATTTTCTGCCGCCACCCAATTGACCCCATTGTGCCCCTGGTAAAAGAATTTTATGCTAACCTACAAAACCAGGGGCAAAATATGGTCTTTGTACGGCATATCGATATTCCATTTACCTCTAACCACATCAACGGTATTCTTGGCATACAAAACCAAGAAGACGAGTTTGTCGAATTGATTACCGATACAGCAGCTCGCGGAAGTCTTGCAAACCATCACTGTCCCTGGAGCTCAGTGGTTGTTATCTACCACAGTCAGCTACACATGCAATAGGCATGAACTCCAGCCTGCTGCCAAAGTGTGGTACCATTTTTTGGCTTCCCGTTTGTTGTTATCCACACACGGAAAGACCATATCCAGAAATCGGGCCATTCTACTCTATGCCATCCTTGTAGGCAAGCCCATTAATGTGGGGCGATTGATCATTGACCAGATCCGAGCTTGTGCAGAGAAGGGAAAGGGCGGGCTGTACTTTCCATCTCTCATCTCAAAAATGTGCATCCAAGCCCACGTTACAAGGGAGGTGAGTGAGCCACGTTTACGGAATACTGGCCTGATTGATTTGGTGGCCATTACTCGCATTTCTTCAGGGGCAGAGTGAGAAGTCAGAAAAAGGAGAGGGGGAGGAAGAGCAGGATGAACCAACTCGGCCGTCTACCAGTAACACCGAATCTACTTCTGCCACTCAAAGTCAGGAGTGGCTTGAGAAGAGGATGAGCCTCTTTGAAGTATAGCAGTTTGAAATGTTTGAACTGCTGCAGCAGTAGCAAGAGCAGCTTCACCAATTTTAGGCATATTCTCGGGATAGGGACATGGCCATAAAAAAATCCCTTCAGCGAAATTTTTCTAGACCTATGGCCACCTTCCCCGCATTCACAGAGGAGCTGCTCTTGTGTCCCCAGGTCTTTGATGATAACACTGAGGAGCCAGCCCCATAAGCTGATAATGACGCCACTGATGGTGCTCAACAGGGTGAACCACCAATTGCTGCAGCACTCGATGTAGCAGCCCCTTCATCGTCTCGTGGAAAGAACAAGGGTAAAATGGCGGCCACTGAACCGCCGCCCAGGCGACGCTCACTGCGCAACCCACTAAATTGGAAGTGGAACATATGACGCACACTTGAGAGAGTTTTCTTTTACTTACGCTCTATATTTTTTTTTTATATAATCTTATGTTTA